GATGGTGAGGATGAATTCCAGGGCTGGTGGCTCCTTACCTTAGCCGACTCCGCTCCCCGGGAGCTTCGCAAGCCCTGGCGCGGTGTCCGCGCCGCCGGCGCGCTCGGCTCCCCCAGCCCTGCCCTGGGCTGGTGCTGTGGGGGTTGAGGTGGAAGGGACCAGGCGCTGCTGGACCAAGCGCTGGGGCACACGGGGACCTGCTCTTGGGGCTGGGAGAGGCTGGTGGTGCCTCCGGGAGGGTTTTCCACGCTGCCTCCCTGCTCCTTGAGCAGAGCCTCTCGAGGGCATCGTGGTGGCCTCGCGATCTGGCTGGCGATTTTCATAGCTCTGCTGGCAGCTGGCTGCCCTGCTCTGCCATCGGCGGTGCCCCCAGTGAAGGGCATCCCTGCCTTTCTCTCAAGCAGAGCCGAGCTGCTCCACGTGCCGCTGGCTGCTTTTTGGTGACAAAATCACCCAGTCTCTGGGTCCCGGCAGAGCTGAATGTTCACCAGGGGCCATGTATCCTACCTGGCCACTCCCTGATGGGAATCGGCCTCTTTGTGTTGGGCCGGGAGCAGATTATCCCTGCCTGGACTGAGTCAGAGATGGCGATAAGGAGAGGGAGGCTCTTCCCCCGCTCGCTTCTGGAGTGTCTTATCTGCGGGCCTGGAGTGGGAAACAAAAGGCTGAGTTCATTTCCTGGCCTTGGATCTTTGGAGCGAAGGTCTCCACCCTGGGCGGATGGGCCGAGACAGCCGTGGTAGGAAGGACTCTTCGTCGCAAGGGAGGGTTGCACAGTCGTACTGCCCAGTTCAAACATCAGCTCGAGAAACGCTGTGTTGAAGGTGCTGGGGTGTGAAGGTGTCTGTGTGCCAGCGGGCCCGTTTCCTCCTCGATGCCCGCGGCGCGTGCGCCAGGAGATCTTTGAGGTCCTCCTCTGTGTAGTGGCTCGAGCTGTTTCCTGCACCCTGTCCAGACGTTGGAGACGCAAAGGATGGAGCAACATGGTGGTGTCTGCGGTGGGTGGAGGGCACAGCCCGCTTGGGCGCGATTCCCAGATCCCCTCTGCAGTTGGTTACATGCTGTTTGAGTAGTAAATCGGTGCCATTTATGTCTTCATTCGTGAGCAATCCCTCAGCCCAACTGCAGTTAAGCGGGCGGTGAAGCGGGCCGTGTGCTGGGGGAGGCCTGGGCGCGCTCCTGCCGCGGGACGTGGTCACTGCTGCGCTCGGGGGCCAGGCATGGAGAACCGAGGGGGTCTGTGGGCAAGCA